CCCTTAACGGGGGAACTCGTCTGCAGATGTCCACTGCGGATCATCCGCAGACAGACGGCCAAACAGAGCGCGTCAATCGAGTGCTCGAGGACACTCTGCGCAGTGTGTGCGCGGCAGCGCCACGTACGTGGTCGACGCAGCTTCCAGTTGTTGAGTTTGCGCTCAACAACGCGGTGCACGCGTCCACGGGGTTCACGCCGTTCTACTTGAACGGCTTCCGCCACCCCAGAGTGCCTCTCACTCTTCGAGGAAACACTGACTCCTCTATTCTAAGTGGGGGAGAGGCTCGGAAAGCCCTTTCCTCCCAGGTCTCGGATGTGAGGCCAGTTTCGCTGCGGAAACAGGTGGAATCCTTTATGGATACCAAGCTGAACATTGTCAGCAGGGTCCGCGATGCCATGGCAGCGGCCCAAGATAAACAAAAGGAGTACTCAGACAAACATGGAAGAGGAAACTTAAGTGTATTTAAAGTGGGGGACTTAGTGCTATTAGACACGAGGAACCTACCGCTAGACACTGTCAGCTCTGTCGGCAGCAACAAGCTGAAGCACCGCTTCATCGGACCTTTTGCAGTCCTGGCCAGACATGGTGCGTCGTACACCATCGACCTTCCAAAGTCAATGACGACGCACCCGACGTTCTATGTCGGACGTCTTAAGCGGTACTTTGACCCGCAGGGGTTGCTGACTCGCAGACCCCCCTTGACCCAGCTCCTCGAAGCGAGGGCCGGTCACAGTCGTCGACGAGGGCGTCGGAGCAGGCACCCAAGCCTCGGTCGGGACGGCAAGGCTGCGGTCAAGACCGTACGCCGGAGGGGCTCCATACGAACGGACCCCGGCGCCATACGCCGAGTACGCTGAGTACGCCGGGTACGCACCATACGCGTACGTCTGGGAGTGTGCCGCAGGCGGCTCCGGACGTGGCAACAAAGCCTCGATCCGTCGGATCATGCGAAAGGCCTCGTCCAGATCGGACGAAGAGGCCCGGCGGTCCACCCGCAGGTGCAGGCTCGCGACCTCTCGCTCCACCAGGTCCAGGCGACCCGCAAGACGAGCGAGCTCGCCCTGATTCCCGGCCTGGGCGGCAGCATTACCGCCAGTCCCAAGGCCAAGTGCAATCTCAAGCACGAGGAGACGTTGACGGAGGCGGTCAACCTCAGGGTCCCGTGTCGGACCCGCAGTCGGAGCACTCGAACGAGAGTGGCTCTCGGGAGGCGCCGAGTACTCGTACTCGTACGAGGGCACCTCCGCCCCTGCTTGACCGGAATGGAGAAGTCCACTTCCACGTGGAGCGGATCCTCCAGGAGCAACGGTGTCGCGGGAAGCGACAGCTCCTCGTGAAGTGGAGGGGTTATGCCCACTCCGAGAACTCGTGGGAGCCGATTGAACGGCTCCTGATTGACTGCCCGAAGGCTGTCGCAATCTGGGAACAGAAGCGGCGGCAGCTTCATAAGTAGTCCGGGGCTTCTTGCCCGAACGGGGTACGGATGATGAATACATACCGTACCCGCGCTCATCGTGAGCGCTAGAAGCCGCGCGCTTCAGGATGTCCCTTGGCAGCATACGCTTGCTGATCAAGTGGGCAAACCTCACACGAAGATCACGCTGGTCCAGGATGTGGGACAGCTGCTGATCTTCATGGAGTTCCCATAACTCCGTGGGCGAGTACTTGAGAGTCTCCACCCACGCCCAGAACATGTCCTCACAAGAACTCCATGTGGGACAGTTCTCGGGCATAACCCAGGGGTATCCCCAAACAGGATAGAGACCACCCCGGGTCTCGGGCTTCTTACGACAAGTCGTGAAGTCCTTAAGGGGAATGCGGTGTGGCGCGAGAAGCACACACCGAGCAGCCTCCACGCTGTCGACGAACAACTGTTCTTTCTGAACAAGGGCTCGTTCATAGATGCCCCTAGAAGTGTGGCCGCCCACAAGGCCACGAGGAGCGACAAGAAGCTCTAAGAAGAGGTCAGCCCCAGAGCTCTCCTCGGGAGGCCAATACCCTCTTGAGTTGATGGCAGCTCCCTGGTTGACGGGTGCCGCCACCGAACCCCCACGCACACGCTGGGCAGCTTGGAAATCCTCCTGCTGCTGGTCGAGGTCATTCGAGACCTCCCGGGGCTCAACAATGGCACCCTCCTCTTCCTCTTCTTCCTCCTTCTCCTCCTCTTCATCCGAGGAGTCGAAGAGACTCTGATAGGAGCGTCGAGTCTCCTTCTCCTCGCGGAGTGGAGACTTAGAGGCGGTACGCTTCTTTGAGGGCTTGGCGCCTTCGGCTTTAGAGGCCTTAGCGCGCGCAAGACCCTCGGCAAGCGAGAGACGTTTGCGAGGACTCCCTTCCTCATCGCCACCGGCTTTGGGAGTGCCCTTAGCCTTAACGGCCGGACTCTCAGAGCGCACAGAGGTCCTGGGACTGTGATCACCGTGATCACTAGCGGACGACTGCACGCTGTCTTCTTTGTGCTCACTGGGCACTGGGCTGTGCCCTCCCACAGAGCCCGCAGGAGCATCATGAGTGCTCTCGAACTCGGCATCGTCCTCACTGCCCGAGTTGAACTCATGTTCTACGAACCGAGGGTTCGGACGATTGTCTGAAGACGAGGGCGACGGACTGCGGCGCCTGCTTGCGCGCTTGTCCGCAGCCGCGTCACCCGAGGATCCGATCGCCTCGGAGGCCACCTGAGTAGCCTCCTTGAGTGCAGAGCCTTTGCCGTGAGGCTTAGTGCTCTTGGCCTGCGCCTTACCGGCTGCAGCCTTGGAGCGTGTCTTAGCACCGCTCTTAGCAGTGCCACGAGGCATGTTAACGGTCGAAGTGGAGACCTTGACGAAGAGCGCACAGGTTGCTGCTCGAGGCTCTAACTGTAAAGTGAGCCTCCGCCGCGCTCGCGCGGCCGAGTCGATGGTTTTCGACTTTGAGAATGAGAGTTTGTGACGAACATCTCTTCATTCTGATTGGTCGGTAAACCGAACCTAAGTGGGGGAGGATGTAACGGGGTACGTAGCACTAAGTGTACCCTGGTTACATGAAGTGTGACACTTCACACTTCAGGAGTATGACATGTCATACTCCGGGATATTTGGTACAAGGTACCAAGGTCATTCAAAACCAACCATTGGTTAAATGACATTGCATTTCTATAGGTAACTGATAGTTTGTATTAACCACAAACTTAACCTACCTATAAATATACTCAGTTTACAATCTACCTTATTTAGGTCACTTCGCTCTCTTTAATTAAAGAGGGGACCTGTGAACTGCCGTTCACTGAGAGTTTGTATACTCTCGGAAGATAACTTCCTCTAGCGCAAGGTGCTGTGTGACCCCGTCACACGTTATCCCTGACCTGATAATAGCCAACCTATTTTGTACGCTAGCCATTCTTTCTGGAAGAAGAGTAGCTTTCGGTGATTTTATTATACGTATACATGCATATCCATCCCAAACGACAGAACATGCCAAACATATGTATTTACTGTTTCAGCACACAGCAATTGACTTCTGTATACTTTTGACCTTCTTAGTGTCGCAATAAGACATAGTCGACGATTAGAGGTCACAGCAGAAAAGGGACCAGCCGCGCTTCGCTTAACTGGGCGCCCCTTCGGCGCCCCCGCGGTTCGCTGCGCTCGCAATATGAAGATAGAATGTTCTGGAAAGTGTAGTGCTCGGCTCGCTGGTGAGCTCAGCGCTGGGCCCGCCTCGCACCCGCTCACCTTAGTTGGCGCCGCGGCTATGGCACCCACGTCGCCCAGCCCCTTGTGTGTTATCCCAGCGATGGACGTGTGTTTCTCCTATTTTCTCATCCCAAACCACTTGCTGTCGCGACTCGCCAAATTCCCGACGTGGGTTAACTTTGTCGCCTCGTCACGGCCGCTCAAGTTTCGGTGGCAATGGCTGGCAGATCATGAGCTTTGACATCGTATCAACGTACTGTCTATCGAGCAACAATTCTACAATCGATTGATTTTGATATTCGCAGATGTAGCATAGAGCTCCATTTTGTAGTTGCAGACAAGCCGCAAAATTCAGCTCGAAATATTGTGACCCGCAAAGGAACGACCGAGCAAGTCAACTTTCACCGGTGTACTGCACATGATTTTTTATTCGTAATAAAAGTATTGAAAGCGCTTTTGTGCCTACCTGTTTACCACTTACTTGATAAATGAGCTCGAACTCCCATCCACAGTGGATCCACTGGCCATGGAGAACCCTGAGAAGTGTCAAGGCACGGAGTAGCAAGTCTCGCTGTGTCAAACCTTTGATGTCCTACTTGTACCAATCATAATTTCGAATCAGATGTAGTATGGTACATGTAACTTTACAGTCCATGCATCACCAAAATCTAAAAAATGGTTATACCAATAGCTGCAGATAACTTGACTTAATTGTTCACGTTTACTCGCCATCGCAGCAGCCACCACATTTCATCTTGCGAACGGGCCGTTGTATTCTGGGATGTCGGAAGGGGGGGGTTAAAGTTTCCGCTCGTGATGCGGTCGTTGACGCTATGACTATCGAGGGGATTATCTTTACTACAGTATTTTAGCCTCTATTAGCTAATAGACGCTCTTCTGTTAAAAAGGGCTAATGTTGTCTGCCCTTGGAGCATCACATAAGTTTCTAAGCAAATTTACTGGTAGCGAGTGTATTCCAGATCTCGAGATTACTACTGAGGGGATTATCTGTAAATGTGGCGTTTACGGTCGGCGCAATCTGGACTGCCAATCTGGCAGACACCGAAAAGCAGATCCCTATGATCTGGACTGGATCCTCGGCCAAAGGATTCGACACCGTACAGATGACAAGCATGTGGACTTTGCCATGGGGTCTTCCGCCTCACGTTCGTGTTGCGTGGCGTTGACAACAGGTCCAGACGCCACACGCAACACGAAAGTAATGTTGCTTTGCTGCAAGACCAGGTCTCACTCTCCAACCTTCCTTGCCCAACACAAGGACCAACCAACAACCTCTCAGCTTTTTCTGCAGCAACTAAAGCAGAGATGAAGTTCCCGACCGCCTTCGCCGTTGCCACCGCCGTGGCTTTCAGCTCCACCGATGCCGAAAGGCTCAAAACTGGTGTCTGCTACGCCCCGTGGCACCACCAGAACGTCAACTGGGACGTGCTGCAAAATGACATGAGGCAGGTGGCCCAGCACTTTTCGAGCATCCGCACGTACGAGGCTTCGCTAGCTGGAGTGAACGCAATCGACATGGCCGCTGCCGCCGGCATTCGCGTCGCAGTGGGCGTGCAGCTGCAAAATCCAAGCCGCATCGACGCCGAGATAAAAGCCGTCTGTGAAGGCTACGCTCGTAACCCGTGGGCCGTCGAAGCGGTCTACGTCGGCAACGAGGATCTGCAGAACGGTGGCTTCGGCAAGTTCTCGGCCGACCAGCTTATCGGCTTCATCAACCGAGTGCGTGCATGTGTGGGCAACACGCCGGTCGGCTCGGTACAGCGCATCAACGAGTGGCTGACCTCCAGTGACGCGTGGAAGCTCGCAAACGCCTGTGACAACATCGGCGTCAACATCTACCCGTTCTTCACGCAAGGCTCGCAACCTTCGGTGGAGAAGCTGCAAGCGCAGTGGCAGCAAATGGTGTCTAAGTTCGGCCCCAACAAGCTCCACCTCACGGAGACTGGCTGGCCGTACGCTGGTGAGAGCTACCAGAACAACCAGCCGTCGTACGAGGGTATGCAGCAGTACCTGAACGACTACGTCAAGTGGTCTGCTAACAAGGGCGTGTCGTACTGGTTCATGATGTACGACACGACGGTGAGCTACACGGGCGCTGAGTACGAGAAGCATTTCGGTCTCTTCGGCACCGACATGAAGCCGCACGTCAACATCCCGCAGTGCCCCAACCCGAACCAGCAGCAGCGTCTCCGTCGCGACTAAGCGCCTAGTGTCGGGTGAGTTGTGACAAGGGCCCAAACTTACACTGCCATCACCAAGAGAATCCAAATACCACTTCAAAATACCTCATTACTTAGCACAAACAAAATAAAACTACTACGGATTACTACGTAGTACAGCTGGTTTTAGTAGTACTACTTTTAATACTTCAAGTACTTTACATGAATACGACTGTTAGGGTTACGACTCATAAATTACGCTCATACATGTACCATTAAATACTAAGGCTGGCTGCTTCGTCCGTAATATCCATGACGATGGCTCGTAGTTTCCTTGACTTGGCAGCTTCACCTTGACGCCTCCGAACGTCTCACTTATATGCTTCAGATACGCGACGAGATTTGAATCTTCGACGGTGGAAAAAGACCGATGACTCTGTCCTAGCCACGTAGCAAACAGCTTATCAGCGTGCACCTGCAGTGCTGGGGCGATGACCTTCGCCTCTTGCCGATCGGGAGATAGACTGATGTCTATCGCTTCCGGTTCTTCCGGTATACTTCTGACTGCGGCAGTTGGAATGCTAGGTCGACGCTGGGTAGCTGAAGATCCACCCGACTCATGCCTAGGTTTCCTCTCCTCAGCAGCTTCAAGATGACTCGAGTGAGCTGTAACCATGTGACTCTTGACATTGTTAGTCAAGCCTTTGATGTATGGAATATCCGTGCCACACTTTAAGCAATGAGCGCACTTGGCGTTGTCGGAGATGAGGTCGTCTTTGGGAACATCAGCGCATCCATCTTTACGAACCAGACGGATAAAGTCCCACAGTTCGGTTTGTGCACTCCCTTCATCCTAAACATATTTTCAGGGGTCCGTGGAATTCTTGGATCGGACTCGGGCTCAGACATGGCCTCGCTGGGAGCAGGACTCGCTGCGGTATTTAAAGCTTGTCTCTGGCGCGATGGGATAGCTGGGAGGTTATTAGTTAAACGCAGACTCGGACGCGCGGCCGATAAGTGCCCAGGGTGTCTTAGTTCCATGTGCTTCTTGACGCTTGTGGTTTTCCCCTTCCTGAACGTAATGTTCAGGCCACACTTTAAGCAATGTGCACACACAGCGTGGTCGGACGAGAGATTTTCCTGGGATAGGTGAGCGTATTCGTCCTTCCGAACCAGCCGAATAAAATCCCACAGTTCTGGTTTGCGAGTTCTCTTCATCCGAAACATATTTTCAGGGGTTCGTGGGATGGTTGAATCGGACTCGGGGTCATACAAGCACTCGCCAGTAGCACTCGTTATTGGTTGAGACGTTTCATGCATTGGGTGCGTCGTGACCTCGACGTCGCTTGGAAAGCTGGAAGAAGCTATCTGACTCGGACTCTGTCGAGCCATGGAGACGTGGCTAGGATGCCTTGCTTCCATGTGCATCCTGACGTAATTGGTCTTGCCTTTATAGTAAGGGATGTCTTTACCACACTTGAGGCAGTGAGCGCCCTTCGCATTCTCGTTGATGAGATCGTCCTTGGACACACCAGCGAATTCATCCTTCCGAACCAGTCGAATAAAGTCCCACAACTCTGGTTTGCGAACTCTCTTCATCCTGTACATATTCTCAGGGGTTCTTGGTGTTGGGGGGTCGAGTGTGGGTGTGGACACTTGCTCGCCTACAGAAGACCATTGCTGCGCCATCGAGACGGGTGTGGCGACCTCGAGGTCGTCGCACAGTGGGGGTTTTGTGGCCCGGGGTTACCCACCCACCCACCCACCCACCGCTTGACTCCGATGTTAGGTTTTCGGTTATTAGCTATAGAGAGAATATCTCAAGAGAGCTACAATGTTTTACTAAAGGCTATTAACATTTAGCTGTAAACCTATTAGATTTTATAGGGCAAGTAAGAAAAACCCTGTCCAGCCACCCCACAACACTCTTCTACCCGCGTCGGCTTCGACGTGTCACTGAACCGAGGGTATGACCTATTTTTAAGTTGCTAAAAAAGAAAGGGCAACGTTCACGTACGGGTATTTCGGACCAGATATTTTCCAAATATTTCATCAGGTATCGACCAGGTTTTTTTATTACCGATTTTCGTTCGGTATTTTATTTTCGTCGATCTCCCAGCCACTCATCCGGGGAGAAAAAGCCACGCGGCAGCTCTTCCCCTCGCGGCGAACGCGGCGAACGCGTACAGCGCCATGGCTCGCACCCACAAGACAGCGTATATCAAGCAGCAAATGGCGGAGGAGGCGCTAAGAGAAGAGGAGGCCCGCGCGGCAGCGGCAGTCCGAGAGGAAGCTGCTGCTGAGGATACCATGCATCGTGTAACATCGGAAACGCCCGCACTAGGTCTGAGAAAGCAGTAGCCATTCAACGCGCAAGGGAGAGCCGAGCAGAGACAGCGACGCCATTATTTGGCCCCCATGGAGTCGGTCAAGATGACCAAGAAGTTGATGAGCTGGAAGGCGACGGTGATGAAGACCAAGCAGACGATGACGACCAAGCAGGCGATAACGAGGGCGGCACCGCTTCACAGCCGGAGGCTGTGCAGAAAGGGGAAGAGAAGACTGAACAAGAAGTCGCTGCTAATAGGCGGAGCAATGTGGCGATGAGCGACAAGCCGTCTCCACGGCAAGGAAAGAAGCGCTCGGTTGCAGACGTTGATGACGATTTGTTCGTTCCCGTTCCGCCGTTTGAGGAGGAGCATACTAACTGGGCAGCATTCGAGCAAGGGCTCAAGATGTATATGCGGGCGACACGACAAGTGCTTGTCGTGAAGGAGGTGATAAGTGTCGCTCGGCGTAACGCAGCACTCAAGAACCAGCTCCAGTACAAAGATCTCCCGGAAGAGGAGATCCCACTCGTCCCAGAGGACATGGGTCCGTATCAGCGCAAGTACATTTGTACTCACGGGTGGCCTACGCGTGAGCGGTCGACAGGCAAGCGCACGTCGCACAACCTTCGGCGGACCGAATGTCCTTTCCAGTTTCTTGCGCAGGTTAATCGCATGGATAATGGTTCGTGGGGAATAGCTCTCAAGCGCGAAATTTACTCTCACAACCACCTGGTTTCTCCAGAGATTTACCAGCACTACCCAGGTATTCGACAGGTATCTACGCAGTCCCCGTTGGTCCCTGGCGTTGAGCTACTAATGCAATCGCAGGCCACGACATCAAGTATCTACAAATACATTCGCGAAAACTTAGAGCACCGCGTGGACAATGACAGACGCCCGAAATTTGATCGCCCGCTTGCGTCGCTCCGGTAAGTGTTTGGTGTGTTCGTTAGTTTGATTGCTTTATGATGATCACGTACTAATGATTACTTTGATTACCTTAGGTGTAGAACTGTCCGATGATGACGCAGTAGCTGAAGCCATCGTGAACTTTAACATGGAGTCTCCGCAGAACGTGTCGTCGGTATACCAGAGTGCGCGTGGAAACACCGGGGTCATTTCAATCACGACGGGGCACATGCGATCCATGTTGGACAGCTTTCCTGAGGTCCTTCAAATGGACTGCACGCACAAGACAAACAAGTAAGTCATAGCTGTTTTTTTAGCTCCATGTATTGTCCATGTTTTTCCAGGTATTTATCTTTTTTTCTTCCATTACTAGATACAACTATCAGTTACTCTCGATGGTTGCGATGGACCAGTTTGGCAATGGACAGCCTGTCCAGTATTCTTTGTTAGAGACGAACGGCGACTGGCAGATGGCAAAGAGCATTGACCATTTCAAGCGTGCAAATGAGCACTGGCGTTTCGTGCGGATTGTGGTTGTGGATAAGGATATGCGGGAGGTGGAAGTTCTGCGGCAGAAGTTGCCGGAGGCGCGCATTTTGCTATGCCACTTTCACGTAATCAAATGGCTACATGACACGATTCGAATGTCGAGTAAATACGGAGCTTATGAAGCGAATGTGCTGGCCCAAATGAAACACACGATCACGAACATGACCTACGCTAGGACGGAAGCAGATTACGTGACTCACCGTGACGAGTTTAAGTTTTTGTCGCTTAGAGGAGGACGGCAAGATTTGTGGGATTATTTTCAAAAGAATTGGGAAAATTGCAAGGACATGTGGGTCATGGCGTATCGTGTTGCTTTGCCTCACTTTCAGAATCACACAAACAACCGTGTAGAGAGCTTGTTCGGCAAAGTGAAGCAGCAGATCAAGGGCCATTTCTCTATGAATTCCAGCTTAAAAGCGCTACTATCATACCAGTGGCGAAAGGAGATGGATTACTACGCCAAGGTGGAGATGCCAGGAACGTTACGTGATACTACATACACGGAGGAGATGAACGTTGTGCTGGGCATGACGACGCGATGGGTAGCTGCTGCTATAAAGACACAGCATGATGTTGCCGTGCACCAGGACGTGGTGAGCAGTTACGCTATTGTAGACAACGGAGATACGGTGACTTTACGGCGGGAGGAGCAAGAATACATGCTGTAAAAGGAGTCCTGGCAGTGTGACTGCGAGTTCGCGCAGACTATGGAGCTTCCGTGCCGACATGCAATGGTCTACAAGAAGTCAACAGGAAGTCCGTTCGTGGTTCCGTACGCTGCAGTTGGTTCCAGGTATGTCCATGTATTTCCATGTTTCATCCAGGTTTTGAATGAAATGTACAGGTATTATCCAGATATTAACCATGTTTTATTGGCTGTGACTGTATTTCTCTCTCTAGATGGTATGGACAGAGTCGTTTGTCTACGCAAGATTTATCGGCAGTGGCCAAACCGTTCGTGGCCAAGGTTTTTAAGCAGCCACAGGTCTCTGCAGAGAACCGATCTGAGCAAGAGAAGTATCGGCGTGCCCAGCAAGCATTTAGTCGGATCAGTGGAGAGCTAGCACAGTTTGACGACGTCGAGTTTGATAGTGCAATATCTCAGTTTGACGAATGGTGGCATAATTTGCGGCAAGGACATGTTGAGATTCCGCCACCTCAATCCCGTGACAATATTGAACACCATGGTCAAAATGAAAGAGATGGAGATAGAGGTGGAGATGCATGTGAAAGTGCTGGCCGTAGCGGAGACCCAAACTGTGGGGAATTTTGTGAAGATGGTTCCGGTGCTGGTGATTCTGGTGCTGGTGATTCCGGTGGTGGTATTTCCGGTGGTGGTGATGTCGGTGGTAATGATGCTGTCAGTGAAAGGGCTGACGATCCCGATGAAGTACCGCCTACTCAACAATCGCTCGAACAGCCAGTTGTGTCGGCTGAACGACTTTCGCGCGCGTCAGGAGATAGTGCTCCTCTGAATATCAAGTTGAACGAAAGGATTGTGCCAGTCGGGCGCCCTCGACTGAATCGTAAGAAAGTGCGAGCGAAAGCTAAGTCTGACTTGAAAGAATACAATCAAGGTATCAAGTTGCGTGGCTTGCTGCGCGAAAGAGATGTGTGCGAAGTGGTTGCTTCGCTGAAGGAGATCCAGCCGGGCCTGCGTGAGATCGGGTCGTTCCTTGCGACTTTTCAGGTGCTCGGAAAAGCCGTGGGGAAACCACTTTCGTGGTCTGTGGACCCAAATTTTGTTCCCGATAATGTGCGCCACAGGCTCCCTGAGCCGACGATCGACCGTGCACTTGAACAACTGCGTGAAAGGTTACGTGGAGAGCAGATTGAGATTTAGATCGATAGTGACGGGGAAAGTGGTGATTCAGATGACTATGTGGTGGCAATTGAGACTATAGGTGCCTACACCAGAGAGCAGGTGGAAAACATGAAGTGGTTGTGGAACTTGCAGACCACGTGCCAACGTGGCGTTGCATTATGCACTTGGCTTAATTACGAGGTGAAACAACTTGTGGACGAAACACCTCCAGTGGTTGCTGCAGCTGACGAAATTCTGAATACCTGGCCATACAAAACTTTGCCAGGTTTCGGAATTGACATCACAATGGCCGACATCTATTGTGTTCAAGGGTCCATGTGGCTCAACGATGGCGCCATGCACGCCTTTTCGGTCATTCTACAGCGCTACAAGACAATGCCACGGTGACGATGCCTCCACTTAAGAAGCTACCAAGAAAAAAACAGCTAATGTGGAGCCGGTGCTTCCGGAGAAGAAATTTTTGGAGATTTGCGCTTCTGTAGCCGTTTGTCAGTTTGTGTTGGTGCCTGTCTATTTTGAGGGAGTTCACTGGGGCTGCTTAGTGATCAAAGGCAGCTCGAAGGTGATTCACCTGTACGACAGCCTGAATTCTGCCAAGAACGTTAAATGTCTTGAAGGCATTACGAACGAGGTTGCATCGGCAATACAGGAAGTGTTTCAGGTGAATCACGTTAAAGAACCTGTTCAGAAAGATGGTGATAGTTGTGGAGTTCTTGTGTGTCTCCACATGTGGAAGTGCGTGTCCAGCGAGGCGCCAAGTGATGTAACCTCTTCTGGCATTACGAAGTTACGTTGGGCAATGCTACTCGAAATTCTGAAGATCAAACGTCGTTCGTAGCTGCAGCATGTGTCGTGGTAAGAGGTAGCTTGACAAATACATGGCATTTACCTGGCCAATACCTGGCTGCTGACAAGAAAATACCCATTCAAGCTCTTGACTCCCCGTGGGTTTGCCATGCCGACAAGACAAGTTCTTCATCACTTCGACTTTTGCCCAAGTAGCGCACACATGACTATTCCAGGTATCCAGGCTCTCGATACCTGCGTAATATTTGGACGGGAATTTATTTCATAAATTACCTGCCAGAAGTCGAAACCTGAAGGAGTACTGGACGTGAACCTGGAGATACCTGCATCTGAGTAAACCTAATCACTAAATAGATATCTGGGAAACCTGGACTCGAACGCCGTCCAAAAATAAAACATGTACACTTGTTTTGTTTTAAAAAAAACTTCAAAGAGGTACAATAGTGGTTCACTACTAGTGAAATTGCAATCCAGCATTTCTACAACGATACTTTACTTTTAACGTTAGAGTTTTCCTTCAGTCACGAGGCACAGCGGGCTCGCTCTTAGGCTCAGTCTTATATCGTCCCAAAAGAGGGATGGACCAATCAGCGATCTAGTTTGCGGGATATTGGGATGACCTGTAGGGTTGACACCCCTTCTCGTCCCACTGGGACGTTGTGTGGCACGGTCTCATCTCAAATCCAATCGTCTATATTCCACAGCAGCACACACCGCCGACACGAGCCACCTGTCTATAACACCGGGTTGGAAGTCCTGCGGATTCTCGAAATTGCAGGCATCCCATCCCGCTATTGTGGGCAGATATAAGACCGAGCCTTAGCGCCAACTTGAGGGTCTTTCGCCCTAATCGAACACTTAGTATCATCTTCTACCGTATCTTGCTTTGAAACCAGCGAATATCTATGCTGCTGTTGAGCAAATCTGTAGATTTTAGACCAGGTCGCTCGCTAAAACGTTACGGGTCGGTGATACCGGTACCTACAAAGACTACCGGTATTAATACATGTACTGGTGTTCGGCTGACGACGAGATCTTTTGGAAACAATGACTGGCACGACGCGCTGTGCTCAGTGCATGTAGCGGTTAGATTTGTCCTGCTCATAGAAAAACGCCAAGTTGGCGTCGATCGTCGATTGCGATTCGTCTTGGTGGAGCAGCAAGCAAGCGGACTGCGTCTGACCACTGGGTCTCTCCGCAGCGAGCAGCTGTCGTCCATACTTTGTTGGGTCTTGGTTTTTGGTGGGCACAATACATATAGGCATCAAGAGTGCATGTACATGTACATGTATGAAAACATGTTCACTCGCGTAGCCTACAATGCAACAACGTAGGCAGTGTCCTCATCACACTAGGACGGCAACAAGGACACGCTTTGCAATGGTAGAACACAATAAACAAACCATTTTAAACAGGTAATACGATGATACAGAATTCACCTCGCAAGGTCATTATAAATATAGTATATATTAAACAGGTAGGCAGCTACCTGTCGTAATCACTTCCACTGTCCGAAGTTATCTGACCTTCTTCGTGCTCATGCGCTTCCTACCACTTTCCTTGACCAGGTGGCAAGCGTTCCGACTTCCTACTGCATCCACCATTTTCAAAAGTGGCGCGAATGGAGATCTGGGCGCCGTGGGAGACTTCCCGCCAAGTGCGCGAGTTCATAGGGCCTAGGACGACGCAACATGAGCCCATAATACCAGCTCCAGACGACGAACCCCAGATTCTAACAGGCACGTGGATTGGTCCCTTAACATGCGTCCGCGTGGTGCGTCGCTCAAGGCCACACATGTCTGCCTTGCCGCACATTTGGGAGGCCGTCGAGGCCTTTCTGGACTGCTCGCCGAGCTGTACCTTGACGCAGGCCGCTGCGTTTGGATCCATGAGATTGTTGCGCGGTATCTCGGCGCGGTCCGGGGGAATGGTCACGTTGGACGCGTTCTACAAGCAAGCGCAGTTCTCAGGCGCCATGCAGCACGCAGCAGCGCGAGGAGACTTGGAAATGATCCAATGGCTGCTGCATTTCCAGCCTGGAGGCCTCGTAACTCGAGCTGTCGAACAGGCAGCGAGGAACGGACAGCTGCATGTCCTCACGTGGCTGAAAGGACACCACGACCACGTTTTCTGGGGTGCGAATGAGCTCCGATACGCTATTGAAGGGAATCATGTCGAGGTGGCAAGATGGCTACAAGAGAAGACGCGACCACCTACGAAGCTTAGAGCGATGAACTTGGCTGCAGCTAATGGGAACCTCGAGCTGGTACAATGGCTACATGAGGTAAGACACGAAGCTTCGTCTTCTGCTGCTGTGAAAGCAGCGAAAGGAGGATATCTGGAAATGCTCAAGTGGATGGACAAACATTCACTGTGTAAACACCAGGGAGTTCCGGTGGAAGACGCAGCGGCAGGAGGCCACTTGAAGGTTGTGAAATGGCTACATAAATCCGGGGTCGGTATTGCCACTCCGCGAGCAATGAACGCAGCTGCAGCGAATGGTCATCTCGAAGTGATCAAATGGCTTCATCGCAAAGGAAAAGATTATTCATGTACCCATGTTGCAATGGACAATGCAGCCATGAACGGACATTTAGAAATTGTCAAATGGCTACATACTCATCGATCAGAAGGTAGCACAACAGATGCAATCGATGGCGCGGCCAGAAATGGATACCGTGGAGTCGTACAATGGCTACATTCGAATAGAAACGAAGGATGCACGACTCGAGCCATGGACGAGGCTGCTGCTAATGGCCATCTACATACTGTGATGTGGTTAAGCAAATATAGACCAACGAGTGATCGCATCAGTAGCTCTGCCAGCAGCAGCGGCTCACGATCAAGCTCTAGAGGAAGAGGCGGGGGCTGTACCACGAATGCCATGGACAGCGCTGCTCGTGGCAATCATTTGGATGTGGTGAAGTTCCTGCATAGACATCGAGAGGAAGGATGCACAGAACGAGCCATGGATGGCGCTGCTGGCGCTGGCCACGTAACGATGCTCAAATGGCTACATGAACATCGTAGCGAAGGCTGCACAGCTGCAGCGATGGATGAAGCAGCAGCAAATGGGTACATTGAAGTGGTGAAATGGCTACATGACAATCGTGTCGAGGGATGTACAGCACGCGCTATGGATGGAGCTGCAGCAGGCGGACACCTTCGAATTGTCAAATGGCTACATATCAACCGCTCCGAAGGCTGTACAGAGGCTGCGATGGATGGAGCTGCAGCGCACGGTAAGCTCGATACACTGAAATGGCTACATAAAAACCGATCCGAGGGCTGCACCACTGCAGCTATGGACAAAGCTGCAGCTGGTGGACACTTTGAAGTGCTCTTGTTCTTACACACTAAACGTTCAGAGGGCTGCACAATGGACGCAGCAGTCAGTGCAAGTCGCAACGAGCACGTAGAGATTTTGCAGTGGTTTTTCCGCTTCTATCCGCGAATGATTCACCGCGAGAAGGTTATCGTATTTGCCAAGCGGTATAACTACTACCTCATGGATTGGCTACATCGCAATTACCAGACGTCAGGAGAGCGCACAGTGCTGGCAGAAATCAACTCGTCCTTCTACCTGACACCTCCAGAGACGGAGGAACTGACCACATAAAGCTTAAGTGAAGTATCAATAAAATGGAAAATAATAATAAATTGTCAAAAGCTTCAGCGAAAACTTTTTTTGCAGATGGCTCACGTTTTGTAGCTGGTTGCGCAACTTTGCTGAGGTAAGCGTAAGGTTGCAGGATGACAAAGTTTCGCAACCAGTGCACGCCTGAATGAATTTCTTGGATAGGGACCAATTACCGCCTTTAACCCCTTGAGCTCGAGGACTTTTCCGCGCCCCCATCCGACTAAAAAAACTTGTATCACCGGGTAAGGGTTAGCATACAAAACTTAAGCTAATTTTATCGTGTATATTGGAAAGCCGTGCGATTAACCTAGTCGCAGCTGTCAGTTCATCCATTTATCGTGTATCTTTATGATATTGATTGACAGACACTCGATTCTATCGTGTAGCTTGTATGCAACGTGATAAAGCTGGTACAATCGCGTGGTAAAAGAAGGCCTTGTAAGGTCAAAGCCGTGCTACCAAAATACATATGACAGTCGGCTTTGTGATTTCTGAAACTGAGTATACTGAATTCAAATCAAGTACGGACACAACAATCGATTACTTCTCAGTGCGCGATCGCTTTGACGAGTCCAGCTGGCGTGCGGGCGCGAATCTTTCGCTTCCGCGCCTTCTTGGGCAGGAGCGTGCCATCACGCCAAGCTCTGTGCCATATATCGAAGCACGTCATGAGGGCACTGTTGTGCTTGAGTCGAGCCTTGTCACACAAGAATACTCGCCATGCCTTCGGCTTTTTAAACGGGTTTGCCAGCTCGCAATCACTGCAGTAGATCGACGAGTCACCATCACGAGCACCGTCTGTCCCCTTCAACAGAGAACACACTTTGCACACCCTCGTGCGTCGTTTCCGACCCGCCTGGTTGTTGCCAGCCCGCCATTCATCGTTCTGGACAGGAACGGGCCTCGATTACTGTGTCCTGGAACGCACTCTTGAAGGTGTCGTGTCGATCTCTTCGCTGTGAATGAGCCCCTCTCAGTCTTCCTCCCGTAGTTGACACAGCTCCAGATGCAGTTGTTTTTGAAACTTGACGTGGCTGAGCTTACGTAGACCATCCGCGGCGCGTCGAGCATTGTGAACGATGTACGCATTGATAATAGCGAGATCAACGAGTCCGAGGAATAACAACTTGTAGTACTTCTTGTACTTGATGGCGAGCTGCAGCGAGTATCTTGTATACATGTATGTATGTATGTATGTATGTAATAGTTAGAGAGAGTGATAAGCTGTACAAACATCGTAGTAACACTTGCCTCTGTAGGCGGATCTGATCGTGCACATCAACTCCGCCCATAAGGGTTTGGTAATCCTTGAGAACTCGGGGGCAGACAGCTTCAGTCTGTCCTCCAGTCTGCTTGTCACGGCGCACAACGCGGTCAAGATCGACACTTCCGCCAGACGCCAGCATATACACCGCCTTGTTGTCCCACCAGCGCAATGCTCGAAACCCGAGAATCTGCTTGTGCTCTGTGACTTCGAATGTACCACGTTCGATGTGGGCTGAGCGATTCTTGGGTAGCTTTTTCTTCTTTTCACCTTTTTTCTTTTCGCCAACAATCGACACTGGTAGCCCCAATCGATCTGTTTGCACCGTTCCGACCGTGTAAAACCCCATAGTCAGCATCTGCACTGCCAACGCCACCGAAGCACAATACCAGTCTGTAACAATAGGTCTCATAGCTCCAGTTCCTGGGCCATTGACCCCAAACACCTCGCCGAGGTTGCGGACGACTGCTGCTGGGCCCGACTTGTAGTCTGTCAGCGCTCCATTGGCACCTAAGTAAACTTCAAACCTGTCCATATATGTTTGTATTTCGGTTAGCATGTCCGGTACACGTTAAGACAACTTAGACACAAAAAAAACACGAGTGCTCCTGATGGAACACTCCTGACGTATCGAATGCAGTAGGCCGTGATGGAGCAGCACAGCATAAATAGCTTCGTGCCGTACTTGTGAGGTTTATCTTTCATGAAGACTCGCATTCGGTTGAGGCTTGATCGCGACGGTAGCATAGCCTCGTCGAAAGCCATTGTTGGAGGAGGAATGTAGTGGTGCTGGAATCGCCGTGTCAAGGCATCAATAACGGGCCGGATCTTCCAAGCTTTATCAGTTTGAGCACGCTCATCGCTATTGGAGCTGAAAGTGTAGGCTGCGCGATATGTGCATGAAACGATCACGCACCATGAACTGCCCAAAACAGCCCCGTGGAATCGCACCTTCGTCCGTCGTTTTCCAGTGATGCTCGAGCTTTTCCTTGTTTGGGGAAATCGTGCGAGCCGTCAGCAACCCAATAAAAACGCACAGGTCACGGCCAGTGATATCCGCAGTCCTCTCTAGTTCCAGGCGAATTGGCTCACGCTCCTTGGGCCGAAACTTTCGGTGCTTCAACGCGCGTACCACTTGCTTATTGTATTGGCCTTCCACTCTTTCTTCAATATTCTCAGCGAAGTAGGCATTACTTGCGTCGGCAATATCGTCCCAAAGCGTAGGCTGGGCAAAATACAAGAATGCGCATAGCGGTGTGCCTGCGGCTCGCAAGGCTCCCTACGTAGGTCCATACGGTCCGCCATACAAGCGTGGGTAGTCGTCCTGCATTGCAGAGGCAGGTCGAGGTTCATAAGGCTCCATTAAATATTCATACGGTGTCTGCTTCTCTAACGGATGCCAACCGGTCTTCGCCATGCCCCTCAAGAGATCGTTCGACTTGTTACCCGATGCCAGTTGTTCAACCCCTCCCGCTGAATCCAACAGCGAATCATCAAAGAGTAGGTCTGGTTGAGGTGGCCCGTCTTCATCGAGGCCGTCATCGAAGTCATAGTCATCCGACAGTCCATCGGCGTTCCATGCAGTCCCCTCGTCGTCTTCCGCGTCAGAATCAAGCGCAGCTTGCTCCACAGATCCATTTGAATCGTCGACAGCACTGCAAGGTTCTAAAACACAAATATAAACAGTACATACAACTTAGTCCAGCTCCACTATCTTGTATATACGAGCTGATACGAACCATCATCGAGACACAGACTGTCTTCTCTAGTTTCCTCACCCAGTACGGTATCTTGCTGGCGTTCAATTTGATGCCTCTCAATGGTGTTTTAGGTACCATTGGCGTCTGCAAAATCGTTATTCAGATTGCGCCGAGTTTGAGTATGGAAGTTCGAAGAAGCCGGTGTCGCTGGCACCGGTATTGCTCGACGTGTATCCGAGCAGTCTGTACATGATAGTGGAACAATACAAGTTTAGATATCATCTAAACTTGTACATACACTTAAAACAGCATATACCCTCTTGCGTTGAGAGGACATTTGCATCATTCATATTGTTTGGCGTTGCACTAGCCGTTGTTGCTTGTGCCGGTGCTGCATCCGGACCACCTGTACACCATAGAGGAGCGATTCAAGTTTAGCACCCATCTAAACGTGTACATACACACTCAATAGCTCATACCTTCCAGCGTTGGGGGGACATTCGCATCCAGCACTTCGTTTGAGCTTCGTTCTGAATCGTCTGGCGGGGAATGGTTACCATCCGAATTGGTGTTGCCTTGTTCAGAACATTCACGTGCCGCCGCACTAGACCGCGGCTCACCACTACTTCCCTGCTTCAACCGTTGCTGCTCTCGCAGCTGGTCTGACACAACGTCAAATGCACCTGCGTTAGTTCCAGGATTGTCGCAGTGAAATAGCACAGCGTCGTCCATACCTAGGTCCACACCGTCCAAATACTTCATCAACTCCTCCTCCACGAAGTAGTCCTTCCCGCGCATGCCGCCACGCTTCTTCTTTCCCGGCTTGATGTATACTAAGTCGTAGGAAAGTCCTGTCGACTGCTGAGACTTTCAGCCTTCACGTGAAAGCTCGCGCCATTGCGCTTGAAACGCCATTTGCGCTCGAGCCGGCGATTCTGAAAGTGAGGGAGCAAAATGAGTGGCTTCTGGATTATCACCTTGAATACCACAGATGGGATATGTCGGCACCGTCCGTTACCTCTCTATACTAATACTGATCTGAGTGCTGTCTCTGCTCAATCGCTTGCTTCCATCTGGAGGGAAAGGGTACGCCCCCTACCCCTCTTGGAATTGCATTTTGTAAAGACCAATACAAACTTCGAGTCAAAAATCCTTAACGTGGACCGTACACGCTAAGAATTTTCTGATATCTTGTACGGCCCACGCTCTCGCGTTCAAGGGGTTAATTCAGTTCTTGATTTCAGACGGATTCGGTATGAACCAGTACTACCAATATATTAGGTTCACGTGTCTTGCCGCAGTTTCTACTTGAGCCCAAAATGTGAAGCTTCAACCCTTGGGCTCACAGTTTCAAATAGCAACTGTCCAATAGTTGCTAGCAGAAGAGAACCTGTCTGTCCGCCTGAAATATCACTTGTATTCCCGGGTACGTGATACTTGGTCCTTTAGAAAATAAGTGATGCTGTTGTTTATTGAGAGATAGCAGCATGTATTCCAGCGGAGAGCGCACGTACAGCTCGTACTCAGTTTATTCAAATGAAATTAGCCAATCAAAGCGAGGCGACAAGAGCCATTAGAAATATTTTATCCAGCATTAATTGTTTTTGAAGACCTCCGTCGCCAAGCGTAGACATAACGTTCCTTAAAAGACTGCTCAATTGAAAACTGCTATTGACCTGGCTTTCAGAAACAAAATTACGGCGTTACTAAAACGTTATTCACCTTGTATCATGCAAGATTTACCCTTTTCATTGCCGTTTAGAAGAGGTTAATGTAGAAAACAGAGAATTAACCGCAATTATATCGTGTTGCATACGGATCTATTTTGAACATCATTAAAATGTGACCAATCAGAACCTTTGTGCTGCTATTAACGGACTTCATTTGCACTAACGCTACCAAACAGTGTTTTCAGTGCTTGCGTAGCTTCAGAAAGCGTAAGTGGCTCCGGTGCTGCTGGTTTTGTCGGTTCCCCCGTCACCACTGCGTCAAAGGTATTCGATGCATCGTCAGAA